GTTCACTATTTGGCTTATTATACACATTATTATTTGCATTATTATTATTGTTACTATTATTTACAACACAATTATTACTATTTAACACATTATGCGCTACACTAGACAGCCTGTCCAACAACGGCTCACATTTGGCATCACAATCAGGTGGTGGTACACAACTGGAGCCAACACCTGCCGGTCCCTTATCCATAATTAAATCCACATTTTTGGCAACAAATTCTTCGGCTTTTGTGTCGAGGTTTTGGTTATTATTTACAACATTTGTCGCAATATTTTTCATCACATTTTTCGCCACAACTCTGTTAACAGAATTCACGCGATTTTTGGCCAAATTTAGGGCCGCTTTTGTCGAGCCCTTGGGTCGGCCCACGGGGTTCACACTCTTGCGCTCTGCCCTCGCGTTAGACCCCATTTTTAGCGCAGGTTTGTAGCCGTGAGTTGAGGTACCGGCGCCCGCGCCGGCAAAACCCATTTTGTGCGTCAGTCGATAGGCTCCGCCACCGCCACTGAAATGTGCTTTCGATAGCGTGTCGGAGTCCCGGGTCGTGTGCGCCGACCTCCGGGTCGTTTTTGGCACTTTGGGNATTTTGTGCGTCAGTCGATAGGCTCCGCCACCGCCACTGAAATGTGCTTTCGATAGCGTGTCGGAGTCCCGGGTCGTGTGCGCCGACCTCCGGGTCGTTTTTGGCACTTTGGGCGGCAGTGGTGTGGCTTTGGGGACCACCCAACCCCTCCGCGACTTCACGCGCTTCAGCTTATCCTCTCTGCCGAACCCTTTGGTGATGTATTCGATGTATTTGTCTTTATTGCGGAGAATGGCGCTCAGGGAGGACTGGTATGGCAGACAGTACTTCCGCATAATGTCCGTCCGCTTCATGCCGTCGTTGAAGTCCTGAATTATTTCCAGTTTCTCAGATATCGTCAGACATTTGCGCTTTTGCTTGTCGTTGGCGTTCGGGGGGTTATACCCTATTGGGAGGCGTAACACATACATGAGTTAGAAAATACAATTAAATTCACATTTATTAAATAGCCAGATAATTTCAATAACTATTAAATAAATACGGTATACTGTTTATTATATAAGTTTCATTGAATTATAGTTTAATTTTTAGTGTCTATTAAAATAAAGTTAATCATAATCTGAGCCATAATTAAAGTTTTTTCCTCACAAATTGATAAGAGTTTTATAAGTGAAGGGAAAGGCTATATACTACTGTAAATGTATAGCTAATTGTTTGCATGTTTAGTGGACACATACCTGACTGGTGTCCAAACAAGGACTGACTAATTAATGTCTGAATTGAGCTGAGATTTGAGGCAAAGGTGCCATCATTTTCGGTCAATATTTGCTCGAAATTCAGTAGCTTTTCGACCAGATCTTCGTCCTGACACTCATTGCCATCAAATGACTGGTCGGACGACTGCATGTCCGGTCTCTCACCACCACTTATACTGAGATTATCACTGCCTACCTGTCCATCGGTGGACAGGTGAGCCTCTAATGACTGTTTACTAAGCAATGAGTTAATGGTTCTCTCGATTTGCTCCAAATTCTTCAAACTCTTGTCGATGAAGTTGTCTTCAGATAAATGCGAGTCCATGTCGTCGTCATCCATGTCCTCATCGCCCGACGATATGTCTGATGACAAGCGCCTGTTTGGCGCCGATATGTTGCTTATCACTGATTGGCTGAGTGTGTGGTGATTGGCCTCAGGTTTACCGATCGATTTCGTGGTAGCGGTAGGCAGTTGTGCGCCGACTGTCCCCACACTACCACTGGCACCGGGATGTACGAGCGATGTCTGACCCGGCATCAGGATCTTAGGCACGGATGAGCTGATGAGTTGTTTGCGGTTCTTGTAATTGATTATCTCATACGTGAAGAAGTGTTTCTCGCAGACAGTTCTGTAGCGAAGTTGTCGTAAGTTTTTGCCAAATATTTCACGGATTTTGTAGTTTTCGCTGTTTTTCACCCATTGTTCGCACCTTTAGGTCAGACATGAGACACAAAATAAGCGATTCATTAGTTGTTTTCCACATGTCTTGTGAATTATAGCTATAATTAGTAGCTCTCTCTCTCTCTCTCTCTCTCTCTCTCGATAGCTCTCTCATACTAATAACAATATGACAGTGAGATTATAGATTAATAATCTAAGATTATCCTTGATCAAAGTAAACAGAGTTTTTTATATTGAGAATATACGGAATCCCTGATAGAGTACAGCAATTAGCTACTAATTAATATCGTACCATGAACAGTTGGTGTTTTTATATATAATCTAAGATTATCCTTGATCAAAGTAAACAGAGTTTTTTATATTGAGAATATACGGAATCCCTGATAGAGTACAGCAATTAGCTACTAATTAATATCGTACCATGAACAGTTGGTGTTTTTATATAATGTACACAAAAATATGGCGAACCCTGCACTACACTATACACTATTAATAACAGACAAAGCACTCGTACACTATATATATACAACAAAATGTATGCATAATATATGGGAGAGAAAGGCAAATATGTGTCAAAACAGACAAAAACATATACACTATATGGTAGGGTATTAGTACACTAATCACACACTCAATAGGCTACAGTTCCCATTGGCACACACACACACCTGCACACATACACCACTAATATTGTGTACGTTTACATACAATTAACAAAAATAAAAAAGTTTTTATATAAATGGTTAGCAAATTAAAAGTTAGTTTCGATGAATGAATACCTTTTCCTATCGTTAATAGGGTACCGAAAAAACGATAACTTATTTTCAGTGATTATATTAGACTCGCAGCCACTGAACGAGCATTTTATTGTCGGCATTATCCACGAGCACACATATGCACCTTGGTTAATTATTATTAATTATTACTACAATTTACGCCTAGCTCATTTTAGGCGAGACATGAGTTTGTTGTTTCAAAAAATACACTCAATTTCTCGTAGCGTTTAACACACACTCACTCTCTCTCTCGCGATTCACAACACATACTGTAATAACACTTCACATCCAACTCTCACTCCCTTTTGCATACATAACGTACAGTTCAGTGCAAAACATACAGCTTTTTGTCTCAATACCTGTCCTATCC